AAGGAAGGAAGGAAGGAAGGAAAAAGGGAAGGGAAGGAGAGAGAGTGAAAGGGAGGGAAATGGGAGGAAGGAGGGAGGAGAGAGGGAGATGAGAAAAGAGAGAAGGAAGGGATGGATGGATGGATGGATGGATGGATGGATGGATGGATGGATGGAAGGAAGGAAGGAAGGAAGGAAGGTTGATTCAGGAGGACTTCTCCATCCCCCAATGGGGTCACCCCGGGGGTCCCGGATTCCCCTCACCAGGGTGGCCTTGTGGTCCAGAGGGGTGTCCAGATTGACTCCTTCCTTCACCAGCCGGCGGATGTCCTTCACCATGGAGGCCTCCACGGCTGAGCGAGCCTCCTCAATGGTGGCCTGGGTGATCTCTGAGGGGAGGAAGAGCAGCTGAGCGTCAGGGAAGGGGGCAGCAGCAGCAGAAAGAGCCCCCTCCCCACTTCCAGCAGAGGAGGAGACGGGGGGGGCTCAGGGGTGAAATGAAGGGTCCTTGGTGCTCCCAAGGCTGGCTGGCTTTCTTGCTCATGTTGCATGACCCACCTAGGTCACATCATCAGTGCTGGAAGGGAGGAGGGTAGGAAGAGGAGGAGGAGAAGGAAGAGGAGGAGGAAGGAAGGAAGGAAGAGAGGAGGGGAAGGAGGAAAAAGAGGAAGAGGAGGAGAGGAGGAGGTGGAGGAGGAAGAGGAAGGAGAAGAAGGAGAAGAAGAAGGAGAGGAGGAGAGGAAGGAAGAAAAAGAGGAGGAGGAGAGGAGGAGGAGGAGGAAGGAGGAGGAGGAGGAAGAAGGAAGGAGAGGAGGAGGGGAAGGAGGAAAAAGAGGATGAGAAGGAGAGGAGGAAGGAGAAGGAGGAGGAAGGAAGGAGAGGAGGAGGGGAAGGAGGAAAAAGAGGATGAGAAGGAGAGGAGGAGGAGGAGGAGAAGAAGAGGAGGAGGAGAATGTGGTCTCCTTGCAGACGTTTCATCATCCAAACTAGGTAACATCATCAGTGCCAGGAGGGAGAGGGGTTTGCTCTCATTTGTATATACTAGTCAGTTGATATATAAAAAGTCAGCCTATCCCCACTCCCTCCTACCAGCACTGATGAGGTTATCTAGCTGGGTCATGAACTGTCTGCAAGGAAGCCACCCAGCTCAGAGAGGCCCAAGGATCCCGGGCTTTCTGTCCAGAGTCGAAGGCCGCCCAGGGCCCTGGGCTGGAAGGAGCTGGGCCTCAGGCCTTCCCCCAAAGCAAGCTGGGATGGGGGAAAGACGCAGCAACATGTCGGGCAGCCCAGAGCCTCCTCAGCCAGGAGCAGCTGTGCCCACAAGATGCCCGGTCAGAGAGTGGAAGGGAGGGAGGGTCCGGAAGGCCCCGGAAGAGCCGCTCACCTCGGTCCGCCATGGCCACTTCCAGGAAGTCCAGCGTGGGCTCATCCTCACAGAGGTCGTAGGGCATGTTCCCATCCGAGTTGACGGCAAGCAGGTTGGCCCCCCTGCAGGGAAAAGGGGGGGGAGAGAGAGGTGTTGAAGCTGCAGCCGCTGCCAAGGCTCCCTGCCTGGGGGGAGAGTAAGAGATCCCGGGGGCTATTTTGGTCCGGCACTTGGCATACGTGGCTGGGCCGCATGGCAGGAGATTGGGTTTCCAGCTGCCTCCGCTCCCTCCCTCCCCTTCACGGTGGCTGGCCGAAACGGCTCCTCTCGCCTCCCCCTCCAGGGGGGGCCCAGGAGGGAGGGGGGGCCACCCGCTAGGCCGGCTCTGCCCCCTGCCCTGCCAACCACGCACAGGACGAAGCCGGAGCCCCAGCCGAGAGGAAGGGGGCTCAGAGGGAAGGAGGGCTCTCGCCCCACAGACTGAGCTGGGTGACCTTGAGCCAGGCCCTCCCTCTCCCACCTCACCTCACAGGGTTGTTGTGGTGGTTGTGGGGAAAATAGGGAAAGGGGGGGAATGCTAGATACGTAGGTTGCCCACCTCAAGTCATCCACAAAGATGATGAAGGCGGGATGTAAACATGAATAGCAATAGCTAAGAGCCAAGGTGGCGCAGTGGTTAAATGCAGCACTGCAGGCTACTGCTAGATCAGCAGGTCAGCGGTTCAAATCTCACCGGCTCAGGGTTGACTCAGCCTTCCATCCTTCCAAGGTGGGTGAAATGAGGACCCCAGACTGTGAGGGCAAGTTGCTGACTCAATTTGCTAAAAAAAAAAATCTGTAAACCGCTTAGAGAGGGCTGAAAGCCCTAGGAAGCGGTATATAAGTCTAACTGC